TAAGTTTGATAGCTTTTTGACCACAAACACTTCACAACCATCAACATATTTTGAATAACATTACTGTACAAATATTACAAGTTTTATTTAATATCACTACAAATACTGTATATTGTCTCATTTCATGAATTTTTATGAAGTTCTGTAATTTGAGACAAAATCTGTGATGTGATGTTTTTTAAACCTGGAATTCATGAAATTAATCATGAAGGTTCAAGAAATTATGCTGTTGTCCCTTATGTTTAATGCGTCAATATTACCTATAGATTACAGTTCAGTATTTTTAATTGAACCTTGAAGATGAAAATTTCTGTGTTACTGCTGGGCAAAAGTTTGCCTGAAGCTTGAATCCAAAAAGTCATTTAGCACATTATTGATTAACATTCCCTACAAAAAGCCATTTTGTCTCTGAGCTGATGTGTATATTTGTTTTTAAATTTCTTATGTTTACAGTTTGGAAACACTTTTTGCAAAGTTCATGGCTAAGAATGAGGTTTTTTTGTAGGTGAACATCAAAATAGGTCGGGTCTCCGTCAACAGTGTTGGAAGCTCAGAACTGCCAAGCCACACGCCAGAAATCGTGGATCTTGAAGATGATGCCAGTGACATCCTGCAACCTGATGACCACTCAGAAGAGGAACCATTTGAGTCAAATGTTGTTGATGAGCTTGACCTGACTGGTGATGATGACCATGTTGAAGGGGACGCGGTAATCAATAGTGCTGGTGATAATGCTGCTGTCTCTGACTTGAGCACTGTTGCACACCCCAGTGAGACCCTGACTGCCCAAGCCGATTTTGAGCCAGACAGTTCAATGGATGAGTTGCCGTCACCAATTGTGGACCACTCACCAGTGAGTAGCTTACTGTATTCTTGAATACAGTAGTTTTTTATTTTATCTTGGAATGTCAATGAAAAATAATGCGTCTCCCAAAGGTGCAACCAGAGCATGTAAATGAGTCAACCAATGCCCGTGTTACTGAAAACCAAGTGACGGGAGTATTGCTGGAGGATTCCATGAGAAGAGTGACCGTGAGTACTTGATTTAGTACCCGCCTATGATGTGCGTGACCTTTTTTCCTCTCAGATTTGAGAAAATAGCTATGGAAAATGTATTGCTCAGTTGATGTATTCATTACTCAAATTTACTTCAGGATCTCAATTTGTACACATTCTTAACTTCTTAAGGGCCATTAGACAGGATTAAGGAAATTCAATACAGTACTGTACTTTTTTCTGCAAATCAAAAACTCTGTGAATGACAAGTAAACTACCAAAAAATACTTGTTTGGTATCAATTTGTTAATTTTTTCAACAGAAGTCAAAATTTATGTAATTGAAAATTATTAAAGTTTGAAAAACATTTTAGTCATTTCAATTTTCTTTGTTTCTTTTGATGCAACCATTGTTGTTTGTTTGAGACAATGGTTGTAAAGTTTAGCTGCAAGCAGATGGATTAAAAAGGTTCATTTCACTAATCATAATTTATGTGGTGCATTTGCTTCTGCTGTAATTTGACATCTTGCAATTTGGACAAAAATTGTTTGCAGAGAAAATAAGAATTCATGATTATCTGACCTTGAAACTGTCTTGTTTTGCAGTTGCGGCGAGGTTCCCGGCAGCGAGAGAGTGCCACAGCCCAGGAGACCCATGGACCCTTGGCAACTTCCAGCCGGAGAAATCCAATGGACCAAGGGAGGTCTATGGGCCCACAGAAACGTGGTGCGTCTTCTATTGCCGCCCGTGCTTCATCAGCACGTCACAAGACTGCACCAGCAGTCCTTCCAGTTGAAAGGGAGGTATCTGAGAACATGCTCCCTGGATCGTTGGAAACCGATGACGCTGAAATTCTTGGGGACGACATGCTGAGCGCACATTTCAATCCGAGAATCATGGTTGAGATGTTGGACTGTAGTGACAATGATGACGAACATGTTCCGACTGGGTGTCAGGAAAGGAAGAGTGATAATGCGGGTGAAAGGTGAGTTGTGATTCTGTGGTGCATTTTTGCTCCTGCGGAAATTTTACTTTTGGTTCCATGAAGAATTAGTTGAAAGTTAAAATGCTATTCAGAGTGTCAGTGACATCTACCCAGGCTGAAGTAATTTGTCGTTGTATTCAGTAGAATGCCGTATTTGATTTTTTTTGTAAATGCAGTAAAATGTTATAATAATTTTTCTCTATTAGGTGTCTTTGGGAGCGGTTTATTGTGTGCTTTATATTATTGTCATGATTACAATTGAACCTCTTCAAGTAGAACTTCAATGTACAGTACCTGAAAAAGTAAATGAAGTTAGGGAGGTTTCTAGTTCGAGAAACATGCATTTTTGTTGGGGGAGAAAATAAGAATGACAGGATAATGTAATTGGTGATATTCTAGACCTTGAATTGCTTCTATAATGAGTTGCCAGGATGCTGAACTTGGAGGCAAGGCCTAAATACATGAAGTTACACTTTTATTGCTCATCTCTTTGCTGTGTCAATAAAAGTACCGGTAATAGCCGAATGGCATCCAGAAAATTTGAGTTATGGAGGCTTCAGGAGGAAAGCCTTCAATTTGGGGAGGTTTTCAATCAATTTTTCTGAGATAATTCAGACTGGGTCTTGAAAAAAAAAGGTTGACATACAGAGGTACAGTGTTTGACTTCGGAGGTTTGAGTTATCAGGGTTCAACTGTAATAGCAGATGCATGATTTTTTGCGTTTCTTTATAATTTTTAATAAATTACATTTTTCCAGTCGGTCAAGACGGACAAGAGGAAAGGCAGTGAACTACAAGGAGCCAATGGGGAACAAGAAGCTGCGTCGGGGAGACCCCATGTCCGATGAATTCTCTTTGGCACTTGCCCCCAGCCTTGCTACAAAGATGGATCGCAAGCAAATATCCAAGCAAAGTCACCCTCTTCCTGCAAAAAAATCAACGCGGGGTTCGCGGAGTCAGAAAGAATGAATTTCTGGAGGGATTCAGTTGATTCCATGAGCGGGTTAAATTGAATTCTCGGTGTCCCAGTTTGTGAATGATGCGTAAGGACCAACACTGCAGCAGGGATAATTGCATTTTCAAGGCCCAGCTTCTTGAAAGGATCTCTTAAGAAATTTTCCCTGGGGATTTAAATTATTTCCTTCTTTTCTGATGCCTCCTCGTGTGTTCTCATTTGTGTGTTTTGTGGAATTTTGATTTTAACACTAATAGCCTTACGTTATTTGCAGTTTAAAAAAATTTTTAATTTTCTCTCAACCTTCTTTTCAACTTTTCGTGCTGCTTCGCCAATCCTCACTGACATGATACTTGGATGCAGCATCTAGTTTCCAGTGTGAACATCTGTTTCATGGAATGATGAGTAGATCGGTCAGGTTTTCTTTTTATTATTCTTGGAAGGTTGTCGTTGCCTTACGGGTGTGTAATTATTTTTGTCTACATTGATGCTATATGTGCGTGCGTGCGTTGGGGTTCTTATGATTAATTTGAGAGGATTCATGCCAATTTTGAAGCGCTTACTGTTGTGAAGGCTTTTCTTGAGAGGAACTATTTATGAATGAAGAAAGCCCGTGCTCCACAATTTTTTTGCCGATGTGAGTTGAATTCTGCTGTATCTTTTAAATACCCCTACTTTAAAATCCGCTTTTATTTTCCTTTTGCGAGGTGAAAATTATCCTCGAGTATTCCAGTTTTAAGATGGTGGCATCGTTTATTGTGTTTGAGCAAGTTTCGTTTGATAAGTTTAAGTTTTTCCAACTCAACCGAATGGATTGTGTTCAGTTTACGAATTTTTTACATGATGAAAAATCCTTTGGAAGGGTTAACTCGGTGTTTTTTTCCGTCTTGTAAACTTTTGATTCTACCCATGAATTCACGATAATTTTTACCTTGTGAAATTTTTTTTTAGTGTGAATGAAAAGTACAAATATTTGATGATTTGCCTCGAAGCTAGGTGCGTATTTTAGGTTGATATTTAATTCGTTGTTTATATCTTCACAGATGGCGCTTCTGATTGGTCGCACATGGTGTAGATCTCAAGATTTTTAGTTTATTTTTTATTGTTGAAATCGGCGGAAGTATTTCGCGAAATCTTTGTGGGAGAGTTTGAAGTACCGGTATAGCTTTTCTACTGGAATGGCGCATCGGTACCGAGTGGATTCTGGAGATGTCGTGCATTCCTTGCAGTTCAACCAGGATCAGAGTAAGTGAAATCTCTGCAATATTTTCTAAGATTCCTGTGCTGTGCTTCTACAACAATTATATATTTTTTCAATTGGTTTCGAGGCTTATTAAATTCAAGGCGAAAACGAGAAATTCGAAAATTTCAGTCAATGGCCATAAGAAAAGAAAAATAAAGAATGGCGAACTTTCATCGAGTTTCATATGTAACATTTGTTTTCTATCATGTGTTCCATCCTTTCTTGTAACGTGAAATTATTGAATTGTATTTGAGGTCGATTTTGGAGTTGAATTCTTGCTGTTCAATTTTTTGCGATTCCATGCCTTTTTTTTCAAAATCATTTTATCTAAAACTCCTGGGTCCTTCGACTTATTTTCAGGTCTTTTTTCATGTTCCATGGACTCTGGAGTGAGAATATACAATGTTCAACCTCTAGCAGAACACACCCGTCTACGTGAGTATTTGTTTCACGTTTATTGAACTCGGGAATCTGAACTCTTTGAAATGACGTAAGAGTCAATTAAGCACGTTCAAAAATGGTGCAAATTCACGAAATACTGTATTTAGAAAAATGCATTGCGAATGAAACACTCCCTGTACATTTCAATCGCAAAATGTATGAAGCTTGCTGCGTAATCAGCTTATCTTCATAAAATCAGATGATCGCTTTAACCTAAGAAGCTGTTTTACAGAGCTGCTGTTCTTTTCTAGATTTCATGGAAACTATTCCTCACATTCTTGTGTATTCTACTTGCTCTTTTTTTCGCGCGCTGTTTTGGGACGTGTCGAAATGCCTTAATCTCCCTATCACGTGTGCGTGTCTCCCCTCAATTAAACCGTGAACGGAAACAGTTCTGCCAAGGTTTTAGTCGAGAAAACGCATGATTCGCAAATTTTCACGATATTTGTTCTTCCAGGGGCGGAAAAAGTGGGAAGTATCAAAGCGTGCTACTTGCTACATCGTACGAATTTGCTCGCACTTATTGGTGGCGGGAAACGTCCGAAATTCGCCGAAAACAGCGTTGTGATCTTTGATGACGCCCAAAAAGAATGTTTGCATGACTTCACCTTTTCGTCGGCTGTTCTTGCGGTTTGCATGCAACGAGATCGGTGAGATAGTTATTCAGTTTTGGTGACTTTATTTGTGGAATTCAGGTTTAAATTTTGTCGAATTCTCGAAATTCCGCCTGTAATTTTTTTATTTTGAAAGAAAGATTTCTCGAAAATGGTTCAAGAAATGATTTTTTTCGCGCGAAAAGTCAGAGTAGTGAAATCATTTCCCTTGCGATTTTGTTATGTTTTTTACAGTGGAATTTTTGACTATCCCTATCAACGGAACATCCAATCAACCGAACGCTTTTTCCCCTTGACGTATGAATCCAGTTGACGTGTGATCAATGTTTTTTTTAACCTCGAATCTGGGAGATAGAGTATTAACCAGAACTGTCCCAGTGTTGAGAATTATGTTAATTTCCTTTGGTTATAGAATATTAGGAAATTCCAGCATTGGGTAATCCGAACTGGTTTTGCTTTCTCGTGCGATCTGGGTTTTACTAAAAATTTTATTTATTTTTTGCTTCATTAGAATTGATTTATGTTTTGAATCGCAGGTTTCTGGTGGTCTTGGAGCGGCAAATCCACGTCTTCTCCTTTCCCCGGAATCCTGAAAGGATTTTTTCGGTTGAGACCCGTGCGAATCCAAGAGGAGTGTTTGCTGTCTCACCTTCCTCAATATCACCTGCCCAAATTCTAGTCTATCCGTGCCACAAAATTGGAACTGTTCAAGCGGTGGTGAGTCATGGAAATTTTAACTTTTTGGCTTGAGTACTTGATGTTAATTGGCGTTATCGAAATGTTAAGAAATTGGTTAGCAATCAATTTGAGAAAGCTTGCAAATTTGTCTCACGGTACTATGTTTCTTCTTCAGTTTTTGTTGAGTGGTTTCAGTTTTTGAGACAGCGCATAGGGTCTTGTGAAGCATTTGCGTCTTCATTAGCGTTTCTGAATGAAATAAGTTAGTAACGACGTCCAAGGATTTTATGCTTTCTGTACAAAGTTAAAGAAGAAATTTTTGCTAAAATTTGTTGTATGAAGATTTGTTGTTTTTGATGCGATGCTTCTCAAAGTTTTTCAAAGTACTGTACAGTGAAAGCATTTTTGTTACAGACAATGTGGGTGTGAAAAGGCGAAGAGAAAAAAAAATCCGAAATCAGATATGGATAGACCAGGCGAAGAATATGGGTGCCGTGTGATTTACTCTTCTCTCCTGATTTTCACGCTTATGGCAAAAAGAAAATGGGTGAACTTTTTTAAAAACCGAGGGACGAGCTGATAGATGTGATAAATTTGAAGATTTTATTGAAGTCTCTTGCTTTTTTAATACTGTACTACCACTCTCGTATTTCTGTGCTTCAAAATTTTCTTTTGCAGTAATGCGTTTTCGCATAAATTTCCCTGCAAGCGGTGCTTTCAATTTATGAAAGATTTTTTTCGTTTGGAATGAGAATTTCAATTTTTTTTTTTTCTCTTCAGAATTTATCTACTGCAGGCGGCGGTGTGACTAGCAGTCCGACGTCACTGCATGCTCATCAGAGCGAAATAGCTTGCCTGGCTCTCAACAGCGATTCAACCCTTCTCGCCACTGCCTCACGCCAAGGCACTTTGATTCGGGTTTTCGACCTCTCCTCCAAAAAGAAAGTGAGTGCATCAACTTCCGCATGTAGAATTCCTTTTTTTTTTCCCTTTCGAATCCCTGCGGAAAAATGAAGATTTTTCGGACCCGAAGTGAGTCAATCCTTGTGACCGAGATTTGAGGATTTTAATCGCTACATTTTGATGGTTGAAAAATTCAATGAATGTTTCTTGGTTAGAATAAGCATGAATTACTCGTTGGTTTGATTTTTTTCAATCGATCGGGTGGATGTTTTGAATCTTTAACAGCTCAGAATTTCTGCGGAAAAAGGTTTATAATTTAAGCAAAACATCTGCCGTAACAATCATTTTTTGGATTGAAAAGAGTATGTATGAACATTAATCAATAAGATTAAATATTTCTTAGTTTTTATCAAAAAATTTCTGATCAATGGCTTAAACGACCTGAATTATTGACGATCAAATTTATTTCTGTACTCTTGAACCTGAGATTCAAGTGAAGTAATTAGTGGTGCAGAATAATTAAGAGGTGTTCGATTGAAAAAAATTTTGGAACGACGATTTGACAAAAATGACACCAGCTGAAGAATGATGAAATGCCAACTGTCAAGAATTGAAAACTGTGTGCTGTACTGTATTTTGAAAGGACAATTATGCGATTTCAGTGATTAATAATTGACAAGAGAATAATCGAAGGACAAATAAAATGAATTTGATGGATTTGTGCAGGTGATCGAGCTGCGTCGAGGCAGTGACCCGGCCAGGTTGTACTGCATCAACTTCAGCCCGAACAACGACTATTTGTGTTGTTCCGCGGACACGGGAACTGTGCATATATTCGCCTTGCGCAAAACGAGCTTGAATCGACGATCCGCATTGTCCAAAATGGGAATTTCGCTGGGAAACTATGTGGAGTCCCAATGGGCGCTCACCACATTCACCGTGCCACCGGAATGTGCCTGTCTGTGTGCCTTTGTGGATACCACTAACGTTGCTGGTACGTTATTCAACCTGGCTTCGTCTCTGCTTGATAAGTGGTTGGAAAGAGGTTTTGAAATGGTAGTCATTTTTCTGTCGTTTTTTGACTCGATCTCACGTCCAAAATTTTAAAAGTTTGGACGGTTGCATTAGGGAAGAATTTTGAAACGAGTCAGCGCTAGCTCTGAGTATGGTTGTGTTGGCCTGTTCCTTTGTTTGAGGAACACGTCTCCAAGTATGATTCAAGTGGACTCTCTCGGCAAGGATTTTCTCTGCTGTAGAACGAATATTCGGGTGCTCCTAGCGGCATAGAGTTCTTTTCCTTTGTTACACTGGGTTTTCTATAACAATTTTTGTATTGTCTCGAATTTCGTTGTAGATGAGAGAGTTCACGTTTTATTACGTGGTTTACTTTAAATAAATACGAGGGATGACTCAGATGTTTCGTCAATGACTGTGAGTGCTTTGCTTGCAAAAATTACGCTGTATAGAAAATTTCTTCTAAACCGCCGTGAGATCATTGAAATACATTTAACTTAAAATGGCTTCAAAAATAGTCGGTAAATCAAAAATTTTTCAAAGCAATAAAAACATATGAAGAGCTCTTATTCACGGGAAAAATTAAGCTGACAGCCGCATTTTCCGCGACAACCTCGATTTTTTTTTTCATGGCCGGTCAGTATTCATGGATTTCATGCAGTCCATTATCCGAGGCAAAACTTTCTAGTACGACTGCCGAGTATGGAATTTTTGGTTAGACGGGGACTGAGGGAAAGACGACAAATTTTACGGATATCTACGATTTACTTTCAAAGTGATTAGCAATTAGATGAGTTTCGACGCAGAAAAATGATTTTTCAGTAGATTTCATTCGACTATCAAACGAATAATCGCCGAATTATTTTTACAGCCGTTTGTCTCGATGGAACGTTCCATCGTTACGCTTTCAATCCGGACGGTGGAAAGTGCACGCGGGTAGCCTTCGATATTTTCTTGGACCTGTTCGACGAAGATGAGTTTTGAACCGTTTACGAGATGATTTTTTTTTAAACTGATTTCAAACTGATTTCTTTCGGTTTTGTTTTGTATGGACTTTTGTAAGCGAGCGCAAATTTTCCGACGACGCGTTGAAGCGTGCAGATTTGTATTTCTTTTCGAGAGGGTTTCGGAAGAAGATATTTGAGAGTTGCGTATTGGTTCTGGTCAATGTTTCAAGTGAATCAAGGCTGTTTCTTCTTTTTGTAAGCGAATGTAATCATTTGCATGTAATGAAGTGAAGAATGCAGACTGACTTTGAATGTTGTACCTTCAGGGGGTTTTTGAGCTGTGAAACGAGAATGATGTCTTTGGGGGGGAATCGGGTCAAATGTTTCGATGAACGCATATGAGTGAACAGTTTCTATTATTGTGTTTCCTGTGAATTCGATTTATTGAGCGTATCGATGTAGAATGCTCCAATTTTTTATTGGAATTGCATCGACCATCGCTGAGTATGAATATGCATTGCATGATTTCGAGAGGAGAGAAATACAGATGCCAAATGGGAAGTTTAACTGAACTGAATGGACTACAGCTACTTGATGATATGCAGGATGCAGAGATGTTTCTCTCTACAGTACAATGTATTATCCATGTGGAAAAGGATAAGGCAAAGTACAGTGAATTTTACAATCCTCTGAGATTCGATTCATTATATTGCCGAAATTTCAATTCATAAAGAGATAAGTAATTGCCGCGCGGTATTGCTGATGTACAAATTTAACGGAGACTCATCCATACCTTACGTTTAATTTTCAATTTTTTTCATTTCCCCAGTGTTGGGCATACAGTACATGTATCAGTGCTTTTGAGTACGTTATGTAGCGTTTTAACAACTTGGCCGATTCGCATAACCTTCGAAATTCGCATAAGAAATCCTTGAAAATTATTTTAATGGGAAATTTATATAATTGTGATTAATCGAATTATTCAACTTGAATACATTTTTTTATATTGAGAATCAGGAAGTGGCGAAATGAGAAAAAACGGTGCTGTAATTCAGTCACTCTTCTCACGAATTCACGTGAAAATTAATAAAAATTTAAAAGAATGAAAATTAATTGACATGATAATTAATTATGGCAATGCATGCTTCTCAAACCCATGAGAAGAAAAAAGAATTCTTCTCAATGTGAAGTATTATACTGCGTAAACAATTTTAAAATCTCCAAAAAGCCGAAAAACGATAGCTGTTATTCAACTTGAATACATTTTTTTATATTGAGAATCAGGAAGTGGCGAAATGAGAAAAAACGGTGCTGTAATTCAGTCACTCTTCTCACGAATTCACGTGAAAATTAATAAAAATTTAAAAGAATGATAATTAATTATGGCAATGCATGCTTCTCAAACCCATGAGAAGAAAAAAGAATTCTTCTCAATGTGAAGTATTATACTGCGTAAACAATTTTAAAATCTCCAAAAAGCCGAAAAACGATAGCTGCTGTCGGTTTCATCGGCTGCAGGGTACAATTTGTAAAAGATGTACTTGAGATATTGAGACTTAAATATCAGAATTGTATGATCAGAATCTGTTAGATACGATTATTGTATTGCACCTACACAGTACCGTATTTTCTGACGGTATTGCGATGGATCCAGGCTGTCTTCTTTTTTTTTATCGGTAGCCAAGAAATAAGCCGTTTTATTCTTCGGCAGCCAAGAAATGAGCATCCCACATGTCGGGGATCTGGAATCACCAATGCTTTGTTCGATAAGTATAGATTGTGCAAGAACTCCTTATCTTACCAACCCTCCCTTTCCCTCTTCTGGTGCGCAAGGTCAGCTTACTCACTGTAAATGGTACCATCAGTGCTGCAGAATTCTACTGCTGCAATTTTATATTTGTCTGAATACCTTCTCGAAATCCATTGGAAGCTCTTTTGGTCTATGAACGACACCTACGTGATATGTTTTGACGTGCGACTAGGAGTGTGCTGGCATCTGCCGTGTCTGGCGATGCGTTGTTAAGGAAGTCCGCGGCGGAGCGGGAGAAGGAGAGTGATGTTCGAGGCAGTACAGCTTCTGAGAAGCTTGAATGAAGTAGTATATACGTTATGTAGCGAAAGTACTATCAATTATAAACCACACTTGCTGCGATGAGATCAAATTATTTGACGGGAGTGTGCAATGTAATCCCCATGTCATATTTTCGATTACCGGGTAGGCCGGTTTTCTAACCGGAACTCCCGGAAGGAGGGACCAGAGGAGAGGTGGAAGCAGCAGGGAGCCCCAAACGTCACTTCGCTCCGAGATCTCGACTAGAGCACTTCTATCCTTTTTACTGTGTGACTTGTGACTTTTTATGTTGTTGGTGAAATCAAATACGACTGTTTAAATTGTGACAAGAGGCCGAGGACATTTATTTCTGCACTAAAACCTTATTGTATATACGTTATGTAGCGAAAGTACTATCAATTATAAACCACACTTGCTGCGATGAGATCAAATTATTTGACGGGAGTGTGCAATGTAATCCCCATGTCATATTTTCGATTACCGGGTAGGCCGGTGAAAGTGCCGGAGCTTGAGGAACCTTTTGTAGTAGTTATAGAAAATCAATTTTCGGGCTGGTGGTCAAAATCATCGTGGTGAAAGTTAAACCGCAAGGTCATCCAAGAAAGTAGGATGTTAACTGAAGGACAAAGGTATAAACGAAAAAAAGCGTTGTTCCAATCAGTCTCAGTTCGTTGAGAGAAGTCACAGTTTTTGTGGAGATTTGGTTGACCCTCGACTCTGTTGAAGTTGATACTACAGTATATCTGGACGAAGAAGTTGAGCATGCGCCGTAAGCCAAGAAATAATCGACGCAAGCCCCGTTTTTTCAGACCGGCAAGGTAAATTTCAGTTATAGGTTTTGTGTTCTTGATTTCTGACGTAGTTCGCTCTTCGCAGCTATCGAACTTCGGAAGACTTATTTGCAACTGCATTGGATTTCTTCGGGTTGCAGCAAACATTAAGATTGGAACGTTATCTGGATGGTCTGACTGATCCCGTTCGGCGTGAGGCAGGCATTGGGATATGGAACCAGTCCTTGATTCTCGCCCAGATTTTTATCCTAGGTTTTATCATTTTTGCTGCGATGATCTTGATGATACCACAGCCTGAAAAACCCCGTCCACTTGTGAAAGAAAACCCGCTTGATCTTCTGTAGTTACTCACTGCTTCTCATGTGATCTATGTTCTTTGAACTAATGAACCTTACCCATGATCCTTTGATTTTATAAAGAGCTCTTTCAGAAATGTTCCGAGTTAGATTTTATTGTTCAACCTTTGTTCCTGACTTTTTTTCTCAAACAGGATTTTCGAAAGTGATGGAGACAAAACCTACAGATGTGAATTCATGATCGTGTCCAATTCTGAACGTCCTCAGCATTCCTTGGTGAGTTTCTTTTTGCATCTCTTGCCCTGATTAGCTTGCAAAATTCTGATGCTTAGTCATAAGAGGCATGGTCTTATGGTTGAATCTATCAGTGAGGTACGCTCCAGAACAGTTTTTGTTGTTGAAAATTCCGTAGTTCAATGAACATAGTTTTTAAACTATTCTGTAACTCCTTCATGGAATCTTAATTCATATATTCTAGCCTGAGATGACGGAAATTCAACTGGTGAACGACAATGGCGCTGAGTCCATTGGAATCGATATTCCTGTGCCGGATCCGAAGAGGAAAAATTCCCCGATGCCTACTCGACCGACATTAAAATTCAGAGTCGTAGATCTTTCCGATGAGTTCCACGAGATTGTGAACGACGATTCTTGGTTTGCCCTCTGTCAGAAGCTCAACCTACGTCAGTGCAGTGTAAAAGTGAAGAAATCCTTTTCAATATGTGCTCTGGCACGAGAATGGAAACGGCAGGAGAATCTCAAAAAAGCCATGGCTTACCGAGTGAGACGTCCACTCCCGGAAAACAATCCCGCTGGAATGCAATTTCCGCGAGGGCTCGTGATACGGCCAAGATCTATCACTCCGTATGGCTCACCGCAGTCCAAAATCCGGGTCTTAAATCCGCAGTCGTTCTCCACTCAGCTTGGTAGACCAGTGATTCCGAGACCGATTCGGCCCAGATTTAACCTATCTCAGCTTTCAATGCCTGTGGCAGTCCCAAAGAACGTCGTACGTGCTCGGACATTATCCGTGCGACCAGCATACCATCCTGTGGAAAATAATCTCCACTTGAATACGTCCTTCATGTTCCAGGTAAATATCCAATTCTTGTCTGAGTTTTAACTCTCTGGTCAAACCGGTTCTTGTTGGAGCTACCACGTAAGTACTCCTGCTTAAATAATTCTTATGTTTTGTTGAGTTATGGCGAGCTTTTTAGAGTTTTTAAGGTTAGTGTAGTGTGTGATTATTTTAGGGATTTATATTGGTCATGACTCATGAGACTGAGCGCCAATGATCCGCGTAAACTTCGTGAAGAATCACTTGATAATCAATCTTTTTAATTTTTTCTTTTTAGAATTTTACTCCTCCGATATGAAGTCATATCGGAAGTAATATGGACTAAAACAAACTTTATGTGCGTGATGATTGCTGTGTAAAAAATTTCCTCGAATTGAAAACTAATCTCAAAGCTTGAAAATCCCTTCATATAATTTTTGTGGATTACAATTTTTTTTTTCCCTTTAAATTTCTTGGTCTTCCTTTTTATGCAGAAATTTCTTAATATGGATTGAAACGGGCTAAGAAATCACTATGTACGATGCATTGTGTATGGAAAACAAAATGCTCGAAATTAGCACAAATCTTCTGTTACGAAAGAAACGCAGTTAGAAAGGCAACCTCGATTGCATTAACTGCTGCGGTGAAAGCGTGGGTAGAATTTTGGTACTATCCACTGTAGAAATGCTGATTTAACGAATTTAACGCGAATACAAAAAATTCCTAAACAAGTGTTCATCTTAAAGATTTCGCTTGTGAATTTTTTTTCCTGTTATATTGTGTAAACGGAGTTTGGTCAGCAGAGTTGAGTCACGTTAGTATGATGTTCGCTTTGACAGAATTCGACTAAACAGTATTGGATTTATTATACAGTATTACTATGGTTGCAGCAGTGGCGCGTTGAAATATGTCAGGGCTGTTTCAGCGAGAAGGTATTGACAATGAATACAGTACAGTTGAACTTTCAAATATATCTCCGAATTTCCTTAAACAATGCATTAAAAACCTCCCCGAGTAAAAAGCTTTCCTTCCCAAACCTGCATAACATGAATTTTTATGAGGCCCACTGGCCATCAGAAATTTTTTTTGGCCTCCAGATCCTTTTATCAACGCAGGAAAGAAAACGCAATATAAATGTATGTGGGAGACTTAACGGGCCGATAAACAATTGCCTCCAAATTCGGCATCCTGTCAACTCATTTAAGAGGTAACCTGAGTTTTAGAATATCACCAATTACAATTTCCTGTAATCTTTCTCTCCTCCATTCAACAAAAATGATCATTTCCCTGACTCAAAACATCTTTAAATCCAATTTTTTTGGTCCCTTGAAGTTGGGCTGTGTTGAATTACTGCAATCGGGGTTTTGAGGATAGGTTTTTTTTTTGTTTTAAACCGGCATGCAATCTCGCGTACTATTTTTGTATTCTTTTTATAAGGCACTTTCGTCCGGTCAACAACCGCAGATGCCACCGCCGCCGATCCCATTGCTGCAGAGTACACCTGAACCTAGGCAGCTCATTTTGCTACCAAAGCCGAAGAATGTGCAAAACGGTGGACTGAAGCGAAGAAACGAAATGCGTATTTTATTGAAGGACTGTTTCCGAGGTTTCCGTGTCTACGACTATCGGAAAATTCAACTCGGTTTCGCGAGCGTGCGTTACTATCCCGGCAGAGAAGTCACACCCGACGGCAAATTTGTAAATAGCGTGTACGTCAACTACACTGGGATATGCAAGTCCGGGAAGCGGTATCCGTCGAGTGTTTCGGTGTCGTGTGTAGATTCCCATTGGATGTCTCGCCCTCTGGCTCGTCCCGTTCGAAAGCACATGACCCTCAACCCGTTGTACTTTTATCCGAAGATTGTGTATAAAGTGCGGGACGATCTCCGACAGACGATGCGAGTGCCAGTAGCGCCGCCGCCACCGCCGCCTTCTCCGCAACCCGTAATTTTCATGCCGCACGGGTTGTCGACGTTGTTGCCGCCACCGCCGCCGCCTGTACCGACACTAAGGCCGCCGTTGATGAGGTGGTATATGCCGCCGGAACGACCCGTTTTGAGTGTGGTTCGGAAACCCGCGTCAGAGTCCATGGCTTCGGGTGGCAGCAACGGATTGAGTGTGAAACCTGTCGCCGCGCAATTGCAGTGTTCGTCTGCGTTTCAGCCGGACGACACGAATGTCGACCCTTTGAATGCGGACCCTGATGTTATCCAGTTGGACTGATTAACTTTTTTGTGGTAATGATGTGTGAAAGAAAATTATTATCGTGTCAAACGTTTCTCCCTGCTGCCTTGGAACATGGTTTTATTGCATTCCTCCCTTTTTTATCGACAAGTACAAGATTAATTCCAGTGTGCGACTTTGACGGATTGTTCTTCTAAAGTTGCTGAGATTCTACTGGATGTATTTGAACAATGTGTCTCTTGCCAAAATTTGTTGATGAAAACATGAAATATGATTCTTCAATCGAACTAGGGGACAAATACTAATTATTTCTTCTTTCAGTGCTCAAAACATTTCTCGTGGAGTTTCCTAGCTTTTCAACAAACGTCTACATTGCCAAAATGTGAGAATTTGAAGGGTTTCTTTTTTTGAGGTACCGTCAATTTTTCACTACTTGACAGATCCGTCCGTCAATGATACATTGTGCCAAGGCGTTGGTGTGTCTTCGACGCCCATTATTATGCATCGATGCTTAACTCATTTTCATTGGAAAGCCGATTACACGCATTTATTTCTTTAACCACCATTACTCAATTCTTTTAGAGCGTCGAAGAACGCTTTACGAGGAAACAGCTATATGAATGATTACAGTACAGTACTGTATTATGAATTATATTTCAATTTATCGGGTTTGTTGATCGTGAATTATAGGCGTAATGATATACAGCGAAGTTCCAATCGTTGGAACTCGTGATTTCATCGTGCGTTTTGAAGTTAAGGCAGAAATTTCCATTTCATCATGCCAGGTTGAAAATCAGGCAGGAAATTGTACGGATTGATCGCTTTGAAGTAAGACCTGGCCCCCTAATATTTTGTTAGCTGTTCACGTTTTTCTATTCGCATTATCCTCTCGCCGTCGGACGGTTCGAAAAAATGGTTGTCTCTTACACTGTTATCTGAAAATAATTTATTGGCCCTTGTTTATCCTCGCAAATGTTTCTTGGATTTATGCGATTATTTTTGTTATGTATTTCAGCAATCTCCGGGTATATCTGTTCCGAGGCACCAGAAAGATTATGACACGACGAAAAAACACAGGTTTCTGTGTTTTTTTTCCAAATCGCTTTTTTTCACATTTGCGTGCAAAATTGATTCCTCGGTAACCCAGAATTTGCGAGGGTTCCGTTGTCGTGTAAAGAGTATAAGCCTCTTCCTTACCCACGATTTAGTTCGTGGGGCGAATTTTTCGGAAACGTCCCCAGACCTTTTTTGTACTGTCGTGAAGCAAAGTTGGATTTGCCGGAGAAGGTGCAAAGCTGTGAACGAATAAATGTTGAGCGGCTAAAGTGCATTTCTGAAAAAGATTTTGCGTTGAACATGCTTCTTTTTTGCGTGAGAGACCATTTTGGTTTCTTCTGTGTTTCTTGCCTGTTGAGCCATGGCAACCCAAGTTTCCTGAAAATATTTAGACAGAAGATCAACAATTGTAGAAGCCTGAAGCATTAAGCACATCTCGCGTTTTCCGGTTTCATTTGGGGTAAAAAATAGAGAAAAACACTTCGAGATCAAAATGCTATTTATAAAGTTTCAAGAACGCATAATCGATGAAGAAACAACTTCGTATGAATCCCTTTGTTAATTTTGTCTACCATCGACTTCGGCCCAATTTAGCCCGGAAAAATTCTGTGGAATGACATCGTGGTCCAAAGAGGCTTTTTGTTGATATTGAGCGCAGTATGTAAACATTCCATGTGAAAGAATAATGTTCTTCTTTTCTTTCGATGAGGTTATAACTATTATATTATCTTCAGCCGAGTTCGAATCGGAAAATATGAAATGTGTTTGTGCCTGCCACCATCTTCTGTCGTGGGAAAGTTTTGGGTTGCCATCGTGTCTGTAGGCGGTGTTTCACAGGAGAAATTTCGAGACGGGTGGCAATCTCGCTGTTATGAAGAATTTTATTTCGTGAATTCCGGAAAAAATATGTTTCATCCTTCGTGAAGCAGGTGCAAGAATGGTGCTCGTGATCGGGCTCGAAGGCTCTGCGAACAAGATCGGCGTGGGCATCATCCGCGATGGCCAAGTGCTTTCGAATCCTCGCAGAACCTACGTGACTCCCCCGGGCGAAGGTTTCCTTCCGTCTCAAACAGCGGCTCATCATCGCGAAGTCGTGATCCCGTTGGTGCGACAAGCCCTGACTGAAGCTGGTGTGAGCCTCGCCGACGTGGACGCTGTGGCTTACACGAAGGGTCCAGGGATGGGGGCTCCATTGCAGGTTGTGGCGCTGGTGGCGCGGGCTTTGGCGCACTTGTACGATAAACCCATTCTGGGTGTGAATCACTGCGTTGGGCATATTGAGATGGCGAGGTTGATTACCGGAGCGCAGAACCCTACTGTGCTTTACGTCAGCGGAGGCAATACCCAAATTATCGCCTACGCGGATAAAAGGCGAGTGGTTTATTGCATAAGCCTTGTTGTTGTGTTTCTCTTGAAAGTTGTTGTATTTTAGACACCTTTCACTTGACTTGATTAGCTGAAAATGTCCTGGAATCTAAAATTAGTTAGAAAAGCAAGTACTGTACTGTATTGTACAGTTGAACCTTACTCTCTCAGTTGGATACCTCCGTTTGTCGAATTTTTGTTCAACTTTCTGTCTGAATTCCCGTAGAAAGAATACATTAAAAAACTTCTTAAGTTTTAGGTTTTCGTGCTCGAGCCGACATTTTCTGGAAGCCTTTTTGGCTATAATGTTATTGACACAGGAAAGAGAAAAGCAATACACATGTAACTTGATGGGTTTTGACTAATTCGTCGAATGAACTCTTGCAAAAGAATTCATTTAAGAAGCAATTTGTGGCCTAAAATATCACCTTTAAAAATTATCATGGACCATGAAAATTTTTAAACGTGATATTCTATGCCTTTTTTTTCCTCCAACAAAAATGCCTGTTTCTCCCAACTCGAATTTTTGCTGGTCCATTGAACTTTCTTTTTTGCCGCTTGAGTCGGTCTATTTTTTGCGTTGTAAAATTAACATCAGAGGCTTCCTCTATTAGAGCGCTTTCTGAAGCATGGTTTTATTTTAGTTGGACTTGACGCAGCGTGATTTCCGTTGTGGGTGCAGTAGTTATCAAGTACCACGAAATCTTCGAATTTTTCAGAGGAAAATTATTCGAACGCTGTTTGCAATTCTAATTTTATGTTCGTGATCAACAGGTACCGGATATTTGGAGAAACCATAGACATCGCAGTTGGCAACTGTCTGGACCGGTTTGCGCGAGTGCTCAAGCTTTCGAATGACCCTAGTCCTGGCTTCCAAATTGAGCAGATGGCGAAAAATGGGAAGAAACTTTTGCGGTTACCCTATTCCGTAAAAGGAATGGACATGTCGTTCTCTGGATTATTGTCTCAGATTGAAAAGCAAGCCCCGATCTTGCTGAAATCCGGGGAATACAGCCCGGAAGATCTCTGTTTTTCACTTCAAGTACGTTTTTATCGTCTTTTTTATTGGGGTTTATAGAAGAACACGTAAATATTATTCTCTCCGTCGTCGCTGATGTGTATTGGGAAGAAATTTTGAGCCCATACTGGACCTTATTTGATAAGTCCATCGATTTTCGTTCAACAAGAAATACAGTACTGTAATAGAATTTTGAATACAGCGGGTCCCCACATAATGATGAAACCCGAAAAACGAGAAATCCGCAAACAAATTTTCAAAGGAAAAAACATGACTCACATCTCCAAATTATTTTACACAAGGAAATGGTTTGGCCGGAAAAATTACAAACTTTAATAAGTTTTAAACGGAAACTTGGGAATTCTAAAGAAATTAAGAAAAAAGAGAGGACGCATAGTTGACATCTTCTTGTCTTACATTTTAAAGGCTCTGAAAGTTTTGAGCAAGAGTTCCCAGGATTACTTCTATTTCATGCTGTAAAATATGAACAATTCTCTGCTGAAAAGTACAAGAAGTTGATGTTTCATGTGGTCAATTTTGGATTGGCTGAAATATATAAAATCATATAGAATGTTATCTCAAAGGAAAACGCGTTCTGCATAATGAAATTTCGGTATAGCAAAACTTATACGAGGATGGATTAGTTCTGAAGTGCTGGGACCCACTCTTCTCAAATTTAATCGGTTTGAACATCTACTGCACGGCAGAAAACAATGATGAAAAAACGGGAGTATTCCTTTAAAAATTTTAATCTTGGCGGGAAATTATATTGGCAGCCACTACTTCTCACGTAGTCTATAATCCGAAGCAAAAATCATTAGCAGTCCAATCTCTGAAAAAAATCCATTTTGCGAAACTTCGAGGTACTATTATTAGCAGTACTACTGTGATGGCGGATTACCAATCATGTCAATTGGATTTTGAAGTGGATACCTATGCATTGGGTGTCAAACCCTTTCTGCACATTGAATGAAGTATTGTTCTGTATTTAATTTGAAAATTCATTTCTGTCCTAGGAAACCGTGTTTGCCATGTTGGTAGAGACCACAGAGCGCGCCATGTCACATTGCGGTTCCCAAGAAGTGCTCGTTTGCGGCGGTGTTGGATGCAACCTGAGATTGCAAGAAATGTTGCAAATCATGTGCGAAGAACGGAGTGCGAAATTGTTTGCAACCGACGAGCGATTTTGTATCGACAATGGAGCCATGATTGCGCAAGCCGGCGTTGAAATGTTCCGATCCGGACAAGTCACACCCTGGGAAAAGTCGTTTGTTACACAGCGGTATCGAACTGACGATGTCGAAGTTACTTGGCGGAATGACTGACGACGCTTTTTTTGGCCATGTTTTTTGTGAATGCCTTTAGTTCTCAAAACTGCAAGATCGTAAATGCAGATTTTGTTAATTGGTCAGTTCGACACTGCCAAAGCTGTGAATTTCATAATTTTGACGTCCTTGCGTCACCTAAAAAATTGCTCGGAAATTTTTTTTTTTCTAAACCCGAGGTTTTTCTAGTTCACGATTTTACTTTTCATTGCGGATATTCACCGTAATTGCTCGATTCTAATGTAAGTTTAGCCCCTGAAGTTGGTCGCGATTTGAAGGGGAAACGTTGTGGGCCTCAAAAATTATGAATAGAAAACGTGGGCAAGGAGTGAAAAAATCTTGGAAACTTGAAGAAAATCAACAAAAACGTATATGCAATGCCGAGGTGTATTTGGAAGTTTGCGAAGTGACTGATGAAAAGAGTGCCGGTTTTGTTTCAGTTTACTGTGCAGTAATCACAGGATTAAAAGCCAGGATTTAGATTTTTTTTTTGAAATTGAGGGAGAAAGCACACGGGCTACAGAACACGTTTTTGGAGAAAAATTTACAAATGAAGGGAAAATTACCTGCTTTTATTCCTTAAATTGAAGAAAATCGAGAGATGTTGAGATTATAACCCGATCTTAGAGGTTCGTCCAGAAAATCGCCGGAAGATGAAAAGACACGTATTACTTGTCATTTGTTCCGTACTTGGATTTATCCCTATCGTTTGTGCAGACTTATGATCACCTGGCTCATCGCCTGCGCGTGTATTTCAAGATTCTTTTAAATTGTACGGGATAACCATCCGATTTATTTTTCTCCGATTTTTGATCCGCAAATATTGTTGTCTTCTGAAGTTGAGGATGTTTGGTTCAGTACCAGATTGAGGAAACCCTTGTGAAGCTCATGTTTTACTGGCTAGTGCCCCAGGAAAGTACAGCACTGTACTCAAATACAAGTACAGTAATATCATAATTGGCAGGAATTAAGTCAAGTAAATATAAATGCGCGGATGAATGTCGCTAGTCTCCGAAACTTTCAATGGGCTATTTGTGTCTCCACCTCTTCAAAATTAGAGATTTGAATATTCTCTAGATTGTATTGATATTCACGGAGAGGTGCTTCTAAAATTTCGATGTTTCTGGATTTGCTTTCAGATTTCATGAAAATATGTTCAAAAAACCTGGCAAGCGTCGAAATTTGCGAAGTAAAGATGACGATGAGTCACCATCAGTCGATGGTGAAGCAAGTGGAGATGAAGTGGACAAGGTATTGGAAGTGAAAGAAAGGCAAAAGTTGCGCGAAAAACCGCGCGGTATCGATGTTGGTGATCTCAACGCTGGCCTTAAGCTGTATCCGGACCCTCAGGAAGTCAAAGTGGTGAATATTATTTTCTTCTTCGTTTTCAGCGTATTATCGAGAGCATTCGGCGTTTTCCTGGCGTGTAGACCTGCCAATTTTACCTCTATAATTCATTACTGCATTTAGCTGAGAATATTCTCTTAGTACAGTACTTCAATACAGTACAGTCTGTACTAATCTACACTCGAGAAAAGCGGTAAGTTCGATATAATTTATTATGTCTTTATTCGATGCATATTATATTTCAGAACACAGACCCATCTGTGATAGGGCGAACCAATTTCTTTCGAAGTTTGTGATTTGCTCTTGTAAAAAAGACCTTGTTAAGTGCTTAGGTGTTGCATGCGAGTCTGTTGTTGAAGTTATGGTTTTCGACGGTCTGCGTTCAACAGTCCCGTGTGGTCTAGTGGCTAGGATACCTGGCTCTCACCCAGGAGGCCCGGGTTCAATTCCCGGCACGGGAAAACGTTTTGCTAGCGCGTTTGCCGATATTTTGTGTGAAGACTCGGTTGTTGGATTTTTATTTCCCGAAATATATCCCCCAAACATAATATAGAATGCTTTTGCTGTAACTGCTGAGGTGGATTTCGAAATTACCCTGAGCCAAGTTTCTCCATCGTTTCCCGATACATAAAGGAGGTGATTTCATCAATTTAAAGATGAAAATGAAGTGAAAGGTCTATTATAATTTATAAAATAATGGAATAATTAGTCTATAATTTTAGACGTTAATGCCATCAGAGTATTTTTGGCAGGTCTTCCATTTCAAATGATGGGGGAGACTCTACTTCTGAACTTAGAATCAACTCAATCGACCAGAGCTTATTTTAGGAATGAGGTCGAATTCCACGAGTTTCTTGGAATCCATTTCGGCTTGGGAATGCTCTGCTTGACGACAATTTCTCAATTCTGAATTGATCGGTAGCTTGTGTAAAGCGACACTTCAGAGTAAGATAAGCAATGCAGATGAACATCCATAAGAAAATCTTGAAGTCAGTCAGGAATTATGAAAACAGCTGATCATTCGTCATCTTGGCATTAGCGTGCTTGTGCCGCGATGATTCCGCCAGTTTATGTATTTCGAGTACGGTTCAGTGATAGGTGGCTTAATCAAAGTCTGTTTTGGAAGCTGAACATTTGCAACCATCCCATGTGGTCTAGTGGCTAGGATATCTGGCTTTCACCCAGAAGGCCCGGGTTCAATTCCCGGCATGGGAACTACTTTTGCCTTTTCTAACTAGCTGCGCTGTCTGTGGAATACACGCATCCGTTTAATCCTTTCAGCCATAGCCGAAATCTTGAACCATTGATTTTAAAATTAAAGCTGTGAGTCACTTGATTCGCAAGTGATCAAAACTTTCAAGTGCGCTTCACTATTTTCGGTAAAATTCGTGGAACCTTTTTTTTATAGGTAGACTCTTGTGATGGTCTGCAACGATTTTTCATGTACTGTACAGAAATTGATTTTTTTTGGTCCCATATGGGTCGCTACTCGTATTACAGCGGTTCTCTACATTGTCTGCAGCAAAATTCTCTCTATAAAGAATTTTTCTGGCTCCCTAAATTTCAGCATAGACAGAGATAGTTCTACTGTACTGTATGTTGAATCCACTGCAAGTCTGCAAGATTTTATTTTCTCGGCGAAGTCCAATGCTGATCAATATCAGTTTTACTGGCCATATTACTATTGTTCCAGATCTATTCGATTTCAAATTGCCAAATCAAGAATTCAGGTGCACTGCATTTGGCTAATTTTAAAAAGCTTAAACATTGTCGTATAGGTGGACCCATTCAAAACTCTCACAGGTGGTCTGGTGGACAGGAACACGTTGAGGAAACGTTGCGACCAGTCGGATGATGCGTATGACACGGGGATCGGCACGTCGTTCTCTGCCGAAACAAATTTGAGAGACGAAGACGATGAAATGAGGAGGTTTATTGATGCGGAGTTGGCAAAGCGAACTGGGAAAGTTGCTGCGGACGAGGAAGCCAAGGCGAAGCAGCAGGAAGAAAAATTCCTGAGCCCCGAAGACGCAGCGTTGCAAGCTATACCTGATGAACTCAAGTCTTCCGTAAGTTTTGGAATAATTCTTCGTGCTTTGCAGATCTTCATTTTCAATGAATTTTGGCATGTCTTGCGAAGTCACTTTCAATTTGCCGCATTTAAAATTTAATTTAAGGCGACTTTTCGGTTTTAAGCTTATCGAAGAACGCCTTTTTTCTCTTCTGTGGCCTGATTGAAAAAACAAACGAATGCAACATGTCAATTTAAAAAAAATGTGGCTAGTGCACAAAATTCTGTCAAAAACACTGGGTCGACGCCATGGAAATAATCGTGATAAGAGAGTTGAACAAAATTAAAAACCGTATTCTAATTGCACGTACAGTATATAAGCACTGTATTGTACTATACTGTAAGAGCAATTGGGTATTCTTTGATTTCGATAAAAAATAAAATTTTACACTTTTTTCGAAAAGTGTACCATGGACCACATTCTTTCACGCACAGAAAATAGTAAATTTTTGAATATTGTATAAATTGAAATGAGCTTTCAGTAAGTTCGAAATCTGCCTTTTATATTAGTGATTTTTGAAGTATGGCTTTGAATTAGTTGCAACATTTTCCGGCCTACACTGTACAATATTGTACTGAACCAATATTGTTTATTTTAGCACAAGTCGTGGTCTGAGAAAAATGAAGAGATGCTGTCTTCTCAAATGCTTTCCGGAATTCCGGAAGTCGATCTCGGGATGGAAGCAAAGATCAAGAACATTGAAGCCACGGAATCTGCGAAGAATCGGATTCTTGCCGAGCGAATGAAGAAGAAAGAATTGCCTTCCGAATTCGTTCCCACCAACATGGCTGTCAACTTCGTCCAGCATAATCGATGTAATTTTTCGTTTGTCTTCTGTACAATAATTTCGGGATTTTTGAAGTTGCAGAGAGCTCTTCAGTTAAATTTTAGAAAACCTCCTCGGAGGTCATATACTGAGTGCATGCCTTCGAAGTGATTGGGTTTGTTGAGGTGTATGCGTGTAGTTTCGAGTAAAAAAATTCTGCTGTTTTTTTTTCCAACTCAATCCTGAGAAAAAGTGGCTAAATTTTTTTTCAATTTTGCGGCCCCGCAGGGTTGAAGTACTTTTTCCGGCCAAGTTACAATTTCAATGTGGTTTTTTGTACAATTGCGTTAATTGTACAATTTTCCAACCCGTATCTCTTGTTATGGATTGCACCTGGTAACTAATTATGCCTGCTTCTTCAAACTCAATGCATGACTAATTATTTATTTATTTTGCTTCATATGTTAAGATTCGGTTCTTGATGTGCGAAGTTCTATAAATACGGTATCGTTGCAGTATGACTTCGTGATTTTTGAAATGTTCCGAAAATATCTTTCAACTTTCCTATACCGCCCGTGTCCAAATTTAAGTTGATTTACGTTGCTATCCTGTAGGTGTCACCTGAATTTAAATTAACTAAGTTTGGTGAAGTGATCCAATCTTCCTTTGTCCATTCCATAGACAACATTGATGACGGAAGCAACAGACGTGGCCGAGGACGAGGTGGAAGTCATCATCATCACCATCATCAAGCCCGAGAAGAAAGTACGATTTTCGGAAAGCCTCGTGAAATCGTTAAAAAGCGTGCACCCGAACCCAAAGTGGTGGTTGGCTTGGACGGAGAAGCTACTCTTGTCACAGAGGCTAGAGCCGCGAGGAAACCCGGGGAAGAGCGAGCTACCGACGACTTTGCCTACGAAAAATTCAAGAAACAATTCAAGAAACATTGATTTTCATAATCTGATGATCTGATGATTCATAATTGAGGGTGTTGAGGGAAATTACGCGCGTCCCAGAATGTCTCGTCGAAAACAGCGCTTCTCTGCAAGAGTAGAGTTCAAAAAGTTCTTTAATTTTAATCATTTTCATTCACTGAGTGTCGTTTTTTGCTTTTGATCTTGGAAATCGTGTTTCTATAATTTTGTTTGTGTTGTGATTTCGACATGCGCTGTTTTGGGACGCGCTAAATTATCCATTTACGTGATTCTTCATGATTGTTCTCACCTGTTATCGAATTTTTTGCGAGATTTGGGAAGAAAAATCATCGTCATTTTTGAAAAAATCGTCCACATTTAAGGATTTCGGTAGATCGCTTCATCGTCGGTAGTTGAGAATATTTTTTTTTATCTTTCCGACTCTTAAGGGCTTGGTAGAATGAAATGGTGTACATCAAGAGTGAGGCTCTTGAGAGCTGGTTTTTCGAGATCTGTTCGTGGGGTAACCTCGGGAATACGAGAAGACACCACTACTGCGAAAAATGTGAACGAAGTTCAGCCGTTTGAGGCGATTCCTGGGCCTTTGACTGTTCCGGTGTTTGGAAATTTGCTTCATTATAAGCTTGGTGAGTTCTTATAAAATATGTTCAAAATTTCGTATTTCAGTATTGTATCATGAACTAATGAAGATTTCCGAGAGTAACTCAAATCAGTCCCAAATTACGAATCGATAAACCGCGAGTTTTTACTAGGAATTTCCAATAATTTCGCATACCTTTTGATTTATTTTTTAATTTTGGCACCTGCTTTTTTGAAATACTGTTAGGTTACGTAAGCTGAGGATGCGAGCCGTCCAAACTAAGGGTTAATTTGCATATTGTATGGGCTTTTTTGCAGGGCTTCTTATTTCTAGAAACGATTTAAAATCCGTTTTCTTGGTTAATGTCTAAGATGCAATAACTTATGAACAGCAGTAATGTGTTTAGTTTTCGAATCAATTCGTAATTTAACGAAAGAAAGGCAATTGCACCAACTTTTGCAGAAGTGTTTCTTTTACATTTTTGAAAGCAAGGTTTTAATTTCGTTTAAATACTTCGCTGTTCCCAATTGGTCAACATTTTTGAAAATTGGAATGCAGGAATTTTTCGGCAACCGGAGTATCACAAGGTTTTGCGGAAACTGCACCAGACTTATGGTCCGATTTGCCGTCAAAAATTCGGATCAGAAACAATCGTCAGCGTTTTTGATCCCAATGACATCAGAACAGTGTACCAAAGTGAAGGGAAAACCCCGACTGTTCCTCCGTTGCAAGAAACGACGCAATTATATCGACTTCAGAGAAACATGTCCCCTGGCCTCGGAAACACGTGAGTCGACGTTTATTTCATTTTTTTAATGCTGCGTATTTTTTTTTTCAAGTGCACTGATATGCAAAAATGTGAAACCGAACTGTGATTCCATTATTTTGTGATTACCCCGTCCCAGAAATTTAAATTTCATGACGCAGTATGATTCGGATTTGATCATTTTCAAAACCCAATGATTATTTTGCGTACCATGATTGATGTCTTATTCGAAATTTGAAATATGCTATTTTTATTTGGAACCGTTTATTGGTGATTTGCGCCTTCCGTCGAGGCCATTCTTCTTTTCCATATCAAGCGGCGTTGATTTGGATGAAGCTTGAATTTTGGTTCGTCTGCGGATTTTGATGAGAAAATGAAATCTCATGCATTCGGCCCCATGATTTGGTCATTGAGGCGCCACATTTTGGTCTGGTTTCCCATGAAGGAATCATAGCCAGGGATATGATTCTGCACGAATATTTATACGAAACTTACAACTTATCTGAAAATGTTTACAGCAATCCAGCAGAATAATTCATTATTTTGAATAGTCAGCAGCGCCCTCGAAATTCTTGTGAAAGCACAAGACGATGTCCTTGATTCATGTGATGATGCCACTGGAGATGTCATGAAGGACGTCTCTCGTATCCAACAACTTCCATCGTTTCGGGATTTTCGTTTTCTTCGCCAGTCTCCCGTGCTTTCGAAGTTCGACGTGCTTTCTGCTGAGGAATATTTTCCAGAAATTTGAGCCGTCTCTCCAGCTCTGTTGGCGTATGATCCAATCGGAAATCATTTCCTTGTACCGAGAAGCCTTGATCCTTTTCCCGTCAATGTAAATGATCGTTTTTGTCGACACCAATTCGCAACAGTTCATTATCTGCTTGCTTGCCGGGTCAGCCGTGCCTTGCCGGTAGATGGAAAGCATGATCGGTACGTGCAACAGGGACTCGTGGAGGATGCCATCTTGTTCCATGTGGTTCGACTCGCATTGAATGCCACAAAATGGACACCTGACTCTGCAACCGGATAGACTTTCTAGCAACCCTTCTATTGGATCATCCGATGTTCTCCACCATCCATACGGAGCGTCTTCGGCAGTCAGATTGTTGAGCAAAGTGTCGAGGATTGGTTGGAGTTCGTACTGCAAATAGGATAGGAAGCCTCCCATGTCGTCAATTGTGCAATTTTGCAATCCTCGGATAGAAACGGGATAGTAGGTCATCCGCTGACTGTTGAAGATGTTTGCGAATGCCCGCATAGAATTCCTGCGCAAAAAAGGCATATCCGTCATATTTTGTTGGAAGATCGAGTTTTTTTTTCTCTTTTAACTTCAAGACGAAAATCGTGGAATATTTTAATGATATTCTACGAAATTTGATTCTTATCTGGCTTGAAGAAAAGGGTGTTAAAGGTATGAGATACACTAATAATACAGTCTGACCATAATTACAAAAGCTTCTTATTCCTTGAATCTAGATTTTGTACCAGAGTAAAACCAAAATAAATAAATAATTTATATTCTGCTTACTTGACGTTTTGTTTATGTCAGAAATACCGTTTTTCCTTGAGCACCTTTTATTCTGGAAATCTATGCATGAAAATCAAATTAGCTTCTTACAATTTCTTCACAAACTTAGAAAATTTTGTGCATGCAATACATTAATCACTTACTATCAATTTTCCGATTGGAAAATGTGAAAAGCTCCCAGTCTTGGAAATTTTAAGCTCATCAAAAAATGTAAATGATTTCTGTCTGGCTTTTTGTTTAATACTGTATTTCCAACTTTTCAAATATTAAATTTTTAATTTGTGCTGTTTCTGTTGAGAATGTTGATATTGAATTTATCGATCACCAAAAACTTGAGTGCCATCCTCATGCGGGGATACATTTCTACCCAAATTTTCCTCTGCAAAATCTTGTGCGCATATTACTTGAAGGCGCGGAGTATTTTAGCAAGTATGGTATTATTCACTTGGAGTTTGAAGGTGAAATTTTGAAAAAGTTGGACTTGTCTGAAAATTCCAACGCTTGCATAACTTGAGTGTTTAATAGAAGTAATTCGAGAAACAATATGCCATAATTTTTTTTAGCCTGGATATCTAATGTCTACGAGTCCTGGATTTTTCGTTTGTCATTATTTAGATGTCGCCTGCATTTCGTAAAGTGGTTTTTTGAATTTTGGTCAGGATGGTGATTTAAGCGACACCTGTCCAAACTTTTCGAAAACTAAGGTAGGCGTGGTATGGAAAGCGTACTTCTCCTGCGAATTCCTTATCCATACACTTATTCCCTGCTCTGCGAATTCATGGAGGAAGGATGCGATTTTCCTGAGCACGCCTTGCAATTCCAGCGAGGTGTTTGACTTCACAGCCCCGTCATTGTTGAACATCTCGTGACGTAAGGCTTCTTCGAGCACTTGCCTCCTGAGCAAGTCCGGGTTCTCCAGAAAGCTCATGACGCGATGAATCGGCATATTCTCCGTGATGAGTTTAATCATGATCATGCGATTGAAATTGGCCGTCGACCTGAAATTCGGGATGTACCGCATCTTGATCATGGCCTGTCTGGCGGCGTAATGACCCACGTGGTTTTGCAGGGCGTCTTGGAGCTTGGCGGCGAATTTCTTGGCATTCACGGCGTCCTGTTTGGCGCCGAAATACGACAGCTCGAGTTGAGCCCACATGTCGGCGCTGAGGTCGTTCCATTGCTGTTTGTACGCTTCGTATTCGTTGCAGGCTTCTTTGTGGAGAGCGAATGCGGCTTTCCGCGTGATGTGCACCATTGCTTCCGAGGTCTCGTCCATGGACATTTCTGAGGATTTGATGCGGTCCAGGGTGGCCCAGAGGGCGGAAACGGTTGCTGCAAAGTCCCGGGTTTCCAGCCAGTCCAAGGCTATTTTGTCGCAGCTTTCTAGAACTTTCTGAATTGCCATTTGTTGATGGTGTGTGGTTAGGACGACGTCTTCGCCCGAGTTGATCAGGGTTGCGTTTATCCGCTGCGAGACGTCTTGGGGCAGATTCGATGATCTTTCCATCGCCTGCTTGGCCGCAAAAACAAACAAAAAAACGAGTTAGGCGAATTATAATTTTTAAATTCTGCCAGCTGTGCGTAAAAAAATAGCTTAGTCGACGTTTAATTTTTTACCTGTTCTGTAGAAAAATTGTTCGTTGCAATTTTCGGATGCTCTATAGAAAGGCGTACAGTAATTTCCAGCTGCTTGGAATAAAAAGTAACTTAGTCGACGCTTACTTTCTGACCTGTGTCATAGAATTCCTTCTTGCAATTTTTGAATGCTAAATATAGTCATAATTTTTGTCAACTGCTTGACGTGAAAAAATATTTCTCTCACTCGCGAAGACAGATGTGAGAAAGATTACAGTATTTTTAGTCGTGCAAAAAGCAGTTTACGAACCTGACGGAGTTGTTCCCAGATCTCCTCCGGACTTGATTGCGACGGCATTAGCTCCTGGTTCTTCGTGAACACGTCCTGGATGTAGTCGTGACACCATTTCTTGGTTTTTTCGACGTCCGGAAATTCCCCGGAAGCATCCAGAAAAGCGCGTTGAGACAACTCTTCGTGGAATGATTCGAACAGGACTTTGAAGAGGTCGCTCCTCTTGTTGTGTATGGACTGCAATGTCATTTCCTTTTGAAGTCGCAGCCGGGTTTGCATGCACTTGTCATCCAGGAACAAGTGGAGGTTCTTTTGCAATCGTTTCAGATATTCACCCATGTCCAACTTGGGCTTGATTTCCGAAATCCGCGTTTTGATGAGTTCTTCGCAGAAAAGGTTTTTGAGGTTGGCGAAAAATAGGTCAACTTTCTCGAGTAGAATCGGGAAAGAGTTTTCGGAAATTCCTTGCTCCACGATTTCGTGTCGCCAGTTGGCCACTTCATTGGCCACCTGATCATCCGCGTCCAGTTTGAGTAAATGCAGCACTTGTTCCATGAGATTGTTTTTGGAGAGTTCGAAGACGTTCTGGAAGTTGAGGGCGTATGACTTTGACAAAATGTAGCTCCACAAGCTTGCGACGTGATTGGAGAATTCAGTGAGTGTCCAGGTTTTTTCTGGAGTTGCTTTGAATCCTGTTCATTCGAAACAAATCCCGAGCTGTGTATTTTCATTAATTATTATGAGAATCGTTTGATAGAAAATGAATCCCACGTTGTATTGTTATACTGTATTGCAATATTTTTCATGCCTAATATGTAAGTGAATTCAGTCATTTTGAATGGGGACTCTTTTTTGTAGAAAGCTAATCTTGGAAGTTAAACGCTGAAAATTGAAATTTCAACACTAAAAATTGAAATTTAATTTTATGAAAGGATTGTTTCAATTGGTTCTATTGTTGCAATACTGTACTGTATTGGAAATGGGGAGTTTGGAACTCTTACAGTGAGTATACAGTAAAACATCTTCAAATCAAACTCATAGGGACCTGGACACTTTTCACTTGAGAGTTTCTGAGTTTGGAAAATCATCAATCCTGCAGAGGAAAAAGAAGAATAGCAAGAAATTTAAAATTGGTTATCTTTTTGGCCTTGACCTGCTAGTAAATGAGCTGACAGGATGCTGAACTTGAAAGCCAGCATCCATTTGCCCAATTAGTCACTCACTTCCATTTGAAATTTTTTCAGGTTACCTTTTTTGCTCTTCTCTCTTGTGGGTCCCAAATATAATTGGCTGAAGGCCCCCAGAAGTCTGAGCTACAGAGGTTTGGGGGGAAGGTCTTTAGTGCTATTCTATACATTATTCTTGAGATAATTCAGAGAGTGACTGAAGAAAACATTGTCAAAGGGGAGTTTGAGTTTGCAAGATTGGACTGTAATTGGGTTGACTATGGAATCTACTAATCAAAACCATTTCCCTGAAAATGAATGCAAGAGAAAGGAATACACAAAGTCACTAATTGATGTCAAGTGGCACATAGAATGGGCTAAAGCAGTTGTCCTCAGACTGGCACTAATCAAAAGTTTTTTGCTTGTCTGCCAGAAGTTTTCAGCATAATGAATTCATCAAGAGTCGTCAGGATGGTTTCTTTTCTCTTTACCTAAAATTGTGGAAGGACAATGGCAGTTGAATTATCTGAAAATAAAAGTTGACTTCTCTCCTGATAACACTTCCAACAAATTGTTACCTGCTGAAAGTAATTATTTCAATTTTTCATTCAGAGAAATCTTTCTCCAGGCCTGCCTTTCCAGTTGTTTGATGACATTCTTAGCTGATTTTTTTTTGTAAATACCTGCCTAATAGCATTCATACAAAACTTTGGTGGGTCTGCAAAAATTTTCTGAACTTTCCAAGTCTGTAGACATTTTTTTGGGAATTCGCTGGTCTGCATTTTTTTTTTATTTGCTGGTCCACAGGCTCAAAAAGGTTGGGTAACACTGGGCAGAAGTATAATGGTGAAAAGAGTCACTGCATGAACAGTTTTTGTATATTTCTGCAAACTCTGGAGCTTAATATTCCTAGTTTTTAAGGAATTTTAGATCTGAGCAAATGTTACCATCTTTTCCCCCCACTCACTGGCAAGGATGGTGTCCTTGAGGGCAGTTGCTGATTCCCCATAGTCAGCTGTTGCAGTTTCCACAAAATTCTTCTTCCCTCCTGCAAGCAGTCCTGGGAAGTAGAAAACGTCTTGTGGTGGATCAAAAGGAATCACTTCTCTGAACCTTCTCAGTCTGACATGTTCCTCTCTGGTGGCCAACTCTGTTAATTGATCAAGGATCTTCTCCAGTCTCTCATAGGCCTCTCCATTGTTGTAAGCTTCATCAGGGTCTGAGACATTCTGATGAACCACTGTTAAACTTGGAGAAAGCTTGACCTTTGTGTTAGACACAAAGGACAGAACCACCATGGACAGTATGTTCTTCATATCTGTGGTTACTCCTTCTCCTTTCACATTAAAGATGGTGTTGTGTGCAACACCAGTGCTGAAAGTGGCCAAGATGTTGTCACCATGTTCTCTAGACTCTCCATCCCCAAACATGGAGTCCTTTTCAGGAGACCTCAGACCCTCTGTGTCCAGAACTACCAAATGGTCAAAGTCATCTTCAGTCCTTTTGGCAGTGTTTGGTAGGAATTGCATGAAGACTCCTTTGGTGCAGCGCCCACCTTTCACTTCAAAGTTGGAGCCAAACATGACATTCAGGAGAGTGGACTTTCCAGAACTTTGTACTCCAAGCACTGACAGTACCCTTATGTTCTTTGCCCTGTCAGTTTGGTCAACTGCAGTTAAAACATCAGTGATCCAGCGCACTGGGATATTTTCTGCATCTCCATCTAGTAATTCAATTGGGAATCCCTGTAGAAGAAGTTCTGCCATGAGACTAGGCAGTATTGCAGCCTTTGCTCCTTGTATCCCAGCTAAAATACATTTTCAAGATAATTCTTTTATAGATCACTTCCCTTGTTTGAACTTGCAATTCCCAGGGGGATTGGGAACGCAGAAAACCTGTACTGCTAACAATTTGCAGAAATTAATTTATTGGTGGTTGAAGGTGACTCTTGGAACAAAAATGTTTGCAAAAGAATGTTTCAGGCAAATATGGAAGACTCCAGCAAGTTTTTAAATTCTAGCTTGAGCTTTTTCCCTAGTGTAGCAAGATTTTTTGAAGAGAAAAGGAAAAAGAAGTTCTTGTCAAGTCCTGTGCATTTTTTAAATGGAGGAAGTTTTAAAGCCCAAGATTTCCAAGATCATCCCAATTTTATTCTGATATACTTTTGAAAAACACAGGCTTTTATGATGCCTTTTGAGTGGAGATCTGATGCAGATAAACTACTTTATTTTTCAATTATGACCAAAGGGAAAGCATGCTTTTAAGCTGTATCCATTTGTATGGAAGCTGACACTGCAACTTATTATTATTGCTATACAATGACTCTCTGCAGTCTTATTTCTTCTTTCATTGCAATTATCCATGTCTCTAAATTATCCTAAAATATGAGGCAGATCTTTAAAGCCATTGCTAAATCATTGTTGAATTTTTGGGTACTTTCCTGTTATCTCAGTACCTACTTTCCTGTTATCTCAGTACCTAATTTTCTGTTATCTCAGTACCTACTTTCCTGTTATCTCTGTACCTTCCCTTTTACCAATTTAACCTGATCTAACCAAACTTCACCTAACCGCCTCCCAAAATCAGTTTCTGCTTTCTTTGGGTTTCTGCTGAAACTGATTTTGAGAGGTGGTTAGGTAAAGTTAGGTTAGGTCAGGTTATGTTAGTTAAAAGATATTTGTAA